AGCTTTTTTAGTGACAACTTGGGAGGTTTTTCTCCTGTAACACCAAGGAGTTGTACCTCTTATCTGAGGTATGACTGTATGCAAAAAGCCCAAGTTACAGATGTGTAACTGTCAGCTAGAGTGGTGGCAAATTTTAGGAACAATTCCTCATATCTTTCCCCCCCGTTGCCCAGAGATCTTCCCCTTGTGTTTCTTTAAAGTGTACTGAGCTCCAGCGTGATTCTGCTTTCTAAATGACGCTTCAAACACTCTTTATGCAATAACTTCTGCTGCTCATGAACTGCCCGCAAAGATAAACCCATGGAGTGAAGCCCTGAGGATCGGAAAGGCTAGCAAAGGCAAGCTTTCCCCTTTGGAAAGAAGTCAACACCTCCACCCACCCTTGGGAGAATATTTTGGGAAAAGAAGAAAATTGATATTCCTTAGAGAAATACTACATTGAGCTAGGAAAGGCTGTAGGGAATCCCATTTCTAGTGAACTGAGATGAGATACCGGAAACCCCCGCTGTCCTCTCACCTCTTGAGAAGAAGAGGATCAACAAGGAGATGTGAGGAAGAAAGGAAACCAGGGCCAGCAGCCCTACAAAGAACCGCCTGGATTGAAGGCTGGCCACTGGAGGTCAGAGCACTCAATGGACCCTCCAGGAAACCAGAGACAGCTCTGTTTCTTTGGTTGTTGTGTGTCACACACACACACGCCCATCCCCATGCAGAGGGGTGGATCTCATTCCCTTTGGTTGTTGTGTGTCACACACACACACACCCGCCCACCCCCATGCAGAGGGGTGGATCTCATTCTGTGGAAGTGGAATTCCACCCAGCTGCCTCCAGCAGTTCTGATCTTCCCGCCTCAAGTCCCTAGAGATCACGGCAGGGGGAGGGAGGTGTGATGGCAGGCTGAGTCCTGATGTTCCCCACCTTCTGGTCTCACCCCCCCTTTTTTTTTGCCCTGGGGCTGAGCATGCCGCACTGGAGGTGGACTTCAGTTCCTTTGGACTCAGGACCGTCCCTGGACCAGGCTGGAAGAGGAAGGGCCGTCTTTCACCCACTCTTTGCAGAGCGCCCATAAACAGTCACATGACGAGACAAGAGGCCATTTTTAATAGGTAACAACAGTTAGGTCTTGGCCAGTCCTTCTGTCAGAAGGCGTTTCCTCCCCCCCACCCCCACGCCCTGTGCAGGATACAACAGATCCATGTTCTTCATCTCCTCTTCCATGTCCTCCTGGCTACAGAATTTGTTCCTCCAGGCGTCCCAAGAATCCAGTTCTCAGGCCTCTTTAGAGGAAGGGTGGCTAGTTCTGAAAGGGATGGGAACCCACCACACCTACGTTCGAGAGGACCAGCCAATTGTAATGAGCTGAGAACCTGGAGACTGTTCTACACAAAGGAGGGTTAAAGCAGAGGCCTCTCCCAGCATCATCCCTCACTGTTGACGAGGACTTGGCTTGGATCTGGAATACGTACCACATTAGACCTAACCTTCATGAGTTTTTTACACACACACACACACACACCCCTAAGGAAGCCTGCGCTCACAGCTGATAATGGGCAAAACTGTAAAAGGCATGGTAGTTTAAAAGCTGATACCTTTCCAAAATGGGGCTACCGCTTATTAACAATAGTGCTCCAATTACTTATCTTGGTGGTGTTGGGGGTTTTGTTTAAAGGGCACTGACTTAGCTTGGGATGCTAGAAAAATCCCTCCTACGCTTTTTTAAAAAGCAATGAAGAAACTGGGCCTTCTCCATTTCTTGTTCTCTTTGCTGAGCCCAGAGATTTCTGAATCAACCCCTCTGAGCCAGGCTCCTTTTTCAACCTCACAGGGATGTTCTGTAGATAAAGTAAGGAAGAGCACACCACCTTGAGCTGAAATCTAACTTAAGCAATTTAGAATAATTAAATCATACCTAATTATGTAGCTTAAGCAATAGATAAAATTACTTCTCTCCACTCCCCGTACCTTAAATTTGCCTTGTCTCCTTGTAACAGCTGCCAAACGCAACACCGCATCTGGTAGCAGTGACTGGCCCAAATTAATCCTGTTTATTTCAGCAGTGCTAAATCTATCACAAATCAATTTTATTCAAATCCTCTCTCTCCTTATTTACTACATGAACCTGGACCACTCTGTTCTCCCCCTTTAGCTGTCTTCTGCCCACCCACTCGAAAGCCCCTGGCCCAACTAAAAGAGCCCAATTATTTTCAGATTTTCCACTCACAGACCAGCCTCCAGAGCTTCCATGGCTTTGGCTCAATTAGGCATCTATGAGCCTTGGACAGCAAGAAATATGAAAGAATATTAAATCAGCCTAGCGAGCTTTCCCATGACATAAGCCCACAATCCCAACAAGGCCTGCCAACAGAGGGAGAAAGTGTCTGCGTTCTCAGTGTCTCCAGCCAACGATCTGGACGCACTCTTTGTGCTTCTTTAAAATATTTACAAATGGATAAAAAAGGTACACGTGAAACGGCACCGATGCTCAGAGGGAAACTCTTCAAGCAGGTGGTGTCAGCACTCAAGGTGGTCCCGGCCCCGGGAAGGATCCACCTCCCTCTGACGTCGCATTTCCTCTCTCTCCCAGACCCCCACTTATTCCAGCTTTGATGGAGGGTGCCCTGTCTTTCTTCCAGCCAGGAGGTCAAAGGAAGCCTCCAAGAGAAAACATGTGATTTAGAGTCAAAGGCAGCCAGCAAAGGCATTGAGGTCTTCCGGGCCCAGAGTTTTTCTCAACCAACGCCTTTCGCCCTCTGCAGAGAGAAGCCGTGTGCAACCCTTCGGAAAAGAAATATTCTGGATTCCTTCTGCAAGAGAAGGTGAACACTGTCCATGGGGGGGCAACCCCTTTGTGTCCTTGCTCAACAGCCTTCTAGAATACTCCTGCCCCACCAAAGCCAATAACTCAGATTCCCAGCCCATGCTGCTTTCTAAAGAGAATAAAGAGTCCCCATTTGGCTGACCTCCTGCTTTCCACACAAGTGAAAGAGGTGCCCCTATGGAGATGCCCAAGGCTGGGTCCCTTCTCCATCATTCTCTCCTTCCCACCTATAAACCAGCGACAGATACACTGCCCCTCAGCATGGAAGCTCCACTCATGCCTGTCACTAACAAACACGGATAAATCTACCTTTTGTATATGAATTAGACCAAGCTTCTTTTAGAGCCATCCAAACCGCCTGCCGTTGCATTGTCCTGTGGCAGGGAGTTCCAGAGTAACTTGGAAGAATTAAATCCCTGTGTATTCCTTTCTCACTGACAGGCCAAACCAGACCCTTGTTCCTGAATGCTTCAACAAATAACATCCATTTACAGAATGAGATCCCGGTGGACAGAATTTATTGCATTTGCAGATCCTTGTGTTCCTCCCACCTGCACAAATGCCAGCTTCTCAGGCCAGGGGGTGGCGGGCAACCTGTGACCCACCAGATATACAACTACGAGCCCCATCATCCCTCACTGTGGGCTATGGCTGATGGGAGTCACAGTCCAATCATGTCTGGAGGGCCACAGGTTGCCCACCCAATCTCAGACTTTTGTTGCGGCCTTGATCCAGGGATGTTGGGGAACTTTTGTTGTGACGCTGCCGAAGGCAACTCTGATGTTGCCGAGCGGAAGGGAAGGTTTTATTCACTCACCTTGGCCAGGAGCTTTTAAGACAACCTTATTCAACCTACATTCCTTCTGCCCCCTAGAAATTCTGAGCTCGGAGTTGGTTCTGTTCTGTCTGGCCAGCCCTAGTGTTCTCCAAAGGTAAAGGTGGAATCCTGGCTTTCCCCTAACACCCCTCCAGCCCCCCTTCCTCTGCTCCTGAGGGTCAAAAAGTGTAGCCTAGTGACCTTCAGTGGCCTGGTGTTTGAGGCAGAAGGGCAGTGGTTCACATGAAAACCTACAAAACTTAGTTAGCTTTCACGAGCTCTTTGGTTACAAAATTCCCCCTTTAGCAGTCGGCTGTGGCCCTTTGAGATAACCTTTCCTCCAGTTGTTTGTTTGGCTGCCATTTGACATGTTTTTCTCTTGTGAAATCCAGTGGTCTTTTGCAGCAACAGCTTGTTATAATTTCCATTTGTAGATGTCTGAACAGTGGTCGCCCATCATAACCATAGTGTCTAAATCACCCTTCGGCATTATGCAATGATTGCTTACTAAATGGGTGGTGGGGATGTGCATGCCCACTTTGAATCTTTCCCCAAATGTCCCTTCCCTGGCAAATGAACGTATGCCCACCTCCCTAGCCCCTCTTTAGCCCTCAAATGAATGCTAGAATGGGGCTCAAAGTGCAATGCAATTGAATCTCATTAATCTTAGTGGTTTAAAGGATGACCCAGACTGCAGAGTTACTGACAGCTTTCATATCATGTGAATTTCCAAGGCCTGTTTGGGTGGCCCAGTTGTTTCTTGCAGATCCTGTTTGTCAGCAACTCAACCTGTATCTGAGTTTGCTCTTAGAGTGAAATGTTCAGTTTGTGAAAAGAAGCTGGAGGGAAAAACAAAAATCTCAATAATGCTGAGTGATATCCCTAGGCAGTTCTATAGCCCTTCCAGTTTGACACTGAAATAAAACCATTGGGATATCATCACAGGAGACAGGAGGCATAATGTCATCTCCTTGTTGATGGCACTCCGTTCTGCCTCTCCGTTCCATCTGAATCAGGGAAAGGTGGGCATGTGATGGGCAAATGCCCAGAGGGAGTGATGGTGGCTCGTCACAACACCTAGTAGGTGACTAGATGAGACAGATGCAGCAAGGTACGAATCATCCACAGAAACAACACTCCAGTAACCATTCCAGGCAGAAAAATGATATTGCAAAAAACAGACTGGAATGGTGACTTCTGAACAGCGCTTATTAACAATAGTGCTCCAATTACTTATCTTGGTGGTGTTGGGGCTTTTGTGTTTGAGGCAGAAGGGCAGAGGTTCACATGAAAACCTACCAAACCTCTCTCTCTCTCTCTCTCTCTCTCTCCTTGCCTGGTGGGTGGGATGGCGAGCATTTTCTGGGATTTTAAAAGAGCAACTCTAACCTGTCCAGGCGAAAGAGGAACTGGGCTTCCTGTGGCTGGCCAGACCCAATGAAGCTCTCTCGACCGGAAGCGCCCCTTCTCCAGCCTGCAGCTACCTCCCAGGCTGGCCTCCGGGGCTTCCCCGCCTTGAGAGCACAGTCCAGGGCGTGAGGCCGGCTGGCAGCCTCCATCTGCCCCCTTGCAGTGGCTCAGGAGGGAGAATGAGGGCTGCCCACCCAATCTCAAATCTTCTCCACGTAGTTCCCCGGAAACAAGCCTTCTTTGCCACGGATTCGGCCCTGCCACCAGCCAGAGGGATCTGCAACGAGAAAAGTCGGGCCGAGGTGTTACAAGCAGGAGGGGGAAACAGAATTCGGAGCTCCAGAGAGGAAAATGCTCAGGTCTTGGAGAAACCTCTGAGATCTGATCCCAAAAGCCCATAGTATGTGGGTCTTGTTGGCAAAGCAGCAGGGCTGGGTGCTTCCACAAGAAACCCCCCCCAAAAAAAGCAACCCCTCCCTCTATTGAATGAATGGCCCTTGTCTGAGGCCTCCTGCCTCTGGGACTTAAAAAGGCTGGGCTGCCTCCTGCATGGAGCTTTTTGTGGGCTCCAGCCAGACACGCGCCCCACCTCCTAAGGCAGGAGGAGCACAAGATGGGGGACCATCCTTCTCCTGACTCAGGCTGTCTAGTCCAGGATCCTCAAGACAAGAGGGGCAGCCACGAGCCTCCAGGCGGTCGGGAAGGAGGCTTCCTTCCTGCCCCTCAGAGACACTGGGGGGTGTGTGTGTGAGTTGAGGAGGGGGAGTTGAAATTAGGACCTTCCTTCCTGCCCCTCAGAGACACTGGGGTGTGTGTGTGTGAGTTGAGGAGGGGGAGCTGAAACTGGGACGACCTCTCTCTCTCTCTCTGTCTCTCTCTTTCTCTGTGCAAAGGAGGGGCTCCTCTCTCTCTCTCTCTCTCTCTGTGCAAAGGAGGGGCTCTGCCGCTGAGCCACAAGTCATACTAGCAGGTCAGGGATTCTGGAGGTTGTGATCCAGAGGAAGCCTTTTCCAAGCTCAGCTAAGGAGAGGAGGGTGGCTTTTCCAGATCCGACCCACAGGAGGGGTATCTGGGAAGTCCACCGAGAGGGCAGGTGGAATCACATTCAGCTCTGGGCCCGAGGAAGTGTGGTGCATCTGCCATACTAGCTTCCGGCTCAAAAGATCCTGGCTCACCTTCCTTGATGATTTCAATGATATCGTTGGCGTTGAAGCTCAGCTCGTCCGTGTCCTGGGCGTCGTAGGCGTAGAGCGCCCGGCACTGAGGGAAGCGCGGCTTGGGCTTCGGCCGCCCTCCGCCGGGGACGGGACGGGCTTCTTTGGAGAGACGCCGCTGGAGGCTGAAGAGGAGGAGGAGGAGGAGGGTGGGGAGGGGAAGAAACAGAAAGAGATCAAGCTCCCTGCTGGAGACGGGACCGGGGAAGAGCAGGATCCGCCAGGATCCGGGGACCAAAGGCTCCCATGAGTCCACTCACCCGGCGACGCCTTGGTCGGGGACATTCATGAAGTCCAGGTTGAGCTGAGCAGGAAAGGCCTTGGCCCTGGGGCTGGCCCCCTGGCGGGGCAGGGTGGGCTGCTCCATGCTGGCCTGCCTGGTCATGGAGAGGCGTTGCTGGAAGGGGGGCCTTGTCCCAGGGCGGCTGCCACCCCCACCGCGGCTGCTCCGCTTCGAACCTGGCCGAGGAGGAGAGAGGAGTTGGCGGTGTCAAGCCCTGTTCTTCTCAGGGAGGAGAAGGCCAGGGCTCGATGGGCGTCAACCCGTGGAATCCAACCCCCGAGGGCTGCCTTTCCTTTTCTTCCGGGTTAGAAAGCAGGCTGGTGTATCAATCCAGGCTGCACAAACCTGGCAGGCCTCCCTCCGGCTCCCTTCTTTCCCCCTTATGGAGCTGCGCCCTCACACCTTGCCTGCCTCACTTCCTGAAACTCACCCAGCACATCTTGGACCCTCGCTTTTCTAAGCTCCTGCCAAAAATGGGACTTGTGATGGGGCGGAGAACGCCTTTTACCTGCATTGCTTGGAGTGTTCCAGCCAGGGGCAGCGCCTGCGCTCAGATATTGACTCTTCCTGGTGTCCTTCCGTGTGGGCCCTGAAATCGGAACGTGCGCCATCAGCTCTCTGGGCAAAGACGGCCTCTCGTTACCCCTGCTTTTTTATTTTCTGATACTACGCATGTGGGATCAGAAGTGGAAGGTTGAGGTCTGGTTCCGAAATATTGGACACTCTTATCAGCAGGGTGCATGAACTTGGGGGGTGGGAGAAGAAAACCCCAGGGATGTTCTGGGCATTTCCATCCAGGAAAGGAGTGTTCCTGGGGCCTTGAAAGCCCCCCCGCCATCTCCCATTCTCTCTTCACAGCCTCCCCCCCCCCAGACTCACGGGCATTCCGAGGCAAACCAGGACCGATGCTGACGACCAGGACTTTGCCATTGTTGCGAAGGAGGGCCAGGTCCCCCTGGCAGATCTGGAACTGCACCTGGCGGGAGCCAGCAGCCCCCCAGGGCCCCCAGCCATCTTTCTTCACCTTGAACTCCAGTCTTAAGTAGTGTTGGGGGGGGAGGAGAAGGGGAGGAAGAAAGGAAAAGAGAGAGAGAGAGAGAGAGAGATTCCTCATGATGGGGAGACATGACCTTCCATTTCAGAGGCAGAGACAGAGGACGGGGGAATCACGAAACGGAGGGTGCTGCTAATCGCACCGCCTGCCTGGACGCGTCCCAGAGGCTGCCACAACAGGATCAGAGAGACACAAGTCTGAATTCCCCTGTGGCTACCTTCAGACGTGCTCTCTCCACCTAACTTACATCAAAAGATTGTTGAGGGGCTAGCATGGCGTGAGGAGGAAGAGACTTACGTTTGCCCCCCTCTCCCCAAGTTCCTCCGGGAAAGGGAGGGATGAAAATGCAATCTATAAATGAAACCTCTGTTATCCCACCCATTCTTCCTCTGGAGTGGGGGGCTCTAGAGATAGATACCTCCTCCCTGGCAACTGAACAATTCTTGCTTTCCTAAAACCACAATGAGCTGCGATACCGCAAGAGAAACCCCAAATCCAGTGAGAGTCTACCTTGACCTACCCAGAGAGGGAAAGGTCATTCCCTCCATTCCTGGAGCCGTCTGGGTCACCATCTCAGACCAGAGTTAATTCCTAGTGACTTACTGGTTGCTAAACTTGACCAGCAGCTGCTTCTGGGTCCTCTCCTCGTAGCGCTTGTAGAGCAAGCTCAGAAGCTCGGTCTTGAAGACACACTCGAGGACGCTGTCATACTGCGGCTCGTGGATGATGATGAAGTCATCCTGCAAGGTGCTGGGGGTGAGGGTAGGTCGGACGGGGAAGAAAGAAGCGTTGGCAAGGGTCCAAGGGAGTCCCTGGGCTGGATTAGGCAAAGCTAGAAACAGTGATGTTTCTGGACTGACCAAACGGCCCCAGTGGCAGGGCTGGCTGGTGGACGTGGGGGCTCTCCCTCCCCCGACAGCTTTGGGAAATGAAAACAACCGAGACGACCCTGGCAAAGCCACCTGCTGGGTTCTCAAGAGGCAGGGAGTTCCACAGTTTTCATGGCACCACTGAGAAGGCCCTGCATGTTTCTAGCCCTTGCTGGGGGTGGGGCGGGACAGTGTCTCCAGTACCAAGACACCACATAATAAGGATCTTGACTCTTCCTCCTCCCTGCAAAGTTGGTAGAGACGAAGGGGATCTTTAGGGCCCTGTGCTTTTCCTCCTCCTCCTCCTCCAACATAACCGGCTCCTACCGCCCCAGCTCACCTCAGGGATACCGACTGGATCCGCTCCACCTCAATTTGCCGCTTTAGGACCTCCTTGATCAGCCCTTTCTCCGGCCCCTGCTTCACCTTCTCACGCCCAATCAGGTAGAGGAATTTGGGGGTCAGGATCAGGTCCCGTTTCACAGTCTGCAGGGAAGCAGCATGGCCAACACTGTGAAAGACTACGCCCTGACCATCCAGCACGGCCCCCGGCCTCTTCCCCAGCCCCCCCCCACCCCCGCCTTCTCGTGCCAGAGCTCACCTTGAACCGCCGGTCATACTTCACCACCGTGTCTGCGAAGTCCACCCGCTCCCGCCGGCCCACAAAGCGCCTCAGCTCCGGGTGGTTCTCCAAGCCGATATAGTCGCCCACAAAGTTCCGGTTGATGCTATTCCTTCGCCGCTCCTTCTTGTTCAGGAGGATGTTGGAAGCTTCAGACCAAGGAGACGGGGAAATGGGTTTGTGAGGCCTGGCCAGGGGCCAGTTGGGGGTGTGGGGGGGCAGGGTGGGGGAGACATTCTGCCTAAACGCAGACACCTTTCTAAGCATCCAGACTCAACCAGTGTGGTATCAAAATGCAGCCGAAGCCCTAGCTCTGCATCTGAAGGGAGATCTGGATTTTGCCCCTCCCCCTTTTCTGGTTTAGCGTTCAAACTGGGGGAGGAAGGTAGGGGGCTGCTAATCAAATCTGGAAAACCCTACACCTTCCCACCCTCAGTTTTATAAGCTTCTAGTCCCTACAGAGCAGAAGTGAGATGACATTTCTGCCCTCCAGACCTCCAAAGATTCCTCCAAAACATGACCCCAGAAGTGGCAAGACAGCCACTGAATCCCTCCTGTTGCAGACCCTCCGCCCACCTCCCCAAGTGGCTCTTCCTCTCCATACATTTAGGGAGTCGTATGGGTGAAAACACTCCCCCTCCTTGCTATCAATCATAGCCAGCTTAACTGGGCTGGGGGTGGTGGCAAAGCAGCTCACCTTCCTCCCTCATCTGGATGTACTTCCGGACTGCCACATGTTTGCGCCAGGCTTTCTGGATGACACGGGCGTAGCCATCGTAACGACGTTCCCGCATCTCCTCCAGAAGGAAAAGCTGGGGGGGGGGTGTGAGGCGACGGAGAAAGAGAAAGGAGGAGGATGGCAATTATTCACACACTGTTCTGCTACAACCCAACCACGAAGCCACAGGAAGTACCCTGGCTTCTCACTATGGAGTAACAGGGGGCAATTTGCCTCGGCAGCCATTTCCCTGTCTGCATATGTACACATTCCCAAGTGTCATTAAAATAAGCCAATTAACTCCAATCTGGAACACATTGTGTGGTTTTAACCTTTTTCCTTAAGTCTGAGAAATGTAAAGCTGGGAGTTTGCCCACAATCGACCCAACATTTCAAACAGGTTGCTTTTTGCCCTGGTAGAATTCCTTGGTTAGAATTCCAGAAACCTCCGGATGTGTGAGGTCTATGACCCCAATCATCCCCAGAAAGCATGGCTGATGGGGACGATGGTGGCTATAGTCCAACAGAGCTGTCTCAGACACAGAAAACGAAATTAGTCAGAGAGCAAGGCATGGAAAGGAGGCAGCTAAAAAGACATTTGCCAGGGAGACCTCTGGTGCTGCCTCCCCTAAGTTCACTTGCTAGAGAACTCACCGACTCAGGGGCTTTGATGAAGACTTTCGTCCGGCCCAGCTGGTACTGGTCAGGGTCCATATTGACGGATTTCATCAGGTGCACCACCCCTTGCTTCTCATCCCCACGCCAAGAAGGCCAAGTCTCTCGGGTCAGGATGGCATACCTGAGGGCGAAATGGAGGTGCAACACGTTAATAGACCACGGGCACTTTTCGGCTGCCACTTTCCCCCACCCCCCACCCCCACCACGTCTTAGCTGAATATGGGAAGGTGACAGCATCTGCCTCTAAGGTTGCAAAACGTTTTCCATCCCAGCCACTGGGCAGATCAAGGTTTTGCACAGAACGAGACAGCAGGGGGTCAGGATTTCTGCTCCTCGAGATCCCTGTAGTTGGTGCAACATTTACCGTCCTTTCCCTTCTGAGCAGTAAAGGGCATCCACAGAGTAAGTGCAGAGCAATGGGTGGAGGATTCCAACAAGGCCCGGCCCCTCTGATGCTTCTGGTCTTTCAAAGTCCAAAACAGCAAGCAGCTTAATGTGGTGCCATTTACGTCAAAACATTGATTTGCCTTGTTTATGGTGTGGACTCACTTGCTCGAGGAACGGTTATTTCCTCTTGTCGAGAGAACGGAAAATAGCCCGACTGCTCATGAGAGGAGGCGAAACGCGGGAGGTTTTGCGTCCTCATCGCTCGCGCTCACACATCTTGACGGCTGTTGCCAGCCAACCAGAGAAAAAAGCTGATCCTCACCTGGTGCAGGGAATTTGGGATGGTGGGGGAGGCCCCACCATTCTTAATGAAAGGGGCTCATCAAGTCAAGACAGTCATGCTCAATGAGAACGGAGAAAGCCGGGAGCCTCCTTTCACCCCGACAGGAGGTCTTACCTCTGAAGGAACTTCTGGAAGGCCCGCCGATAAGCGTAGCCAGCCCTCCGCACACGGATGTTCTCCCGCAGGCCCAGATATTCCACCTGGTGCTTGACCCTGGGAAAGAATTGGAGAAACGCTTGGCGCACCTCCTACAAAGCCAGATCCTAAATCTGTCCCCTCCAGACGATGCGACAGAAGAACTGAGGGCTCGAGCGAGGGTTAAAGTTTTGTTCCTGTTTCCCAGTCTTTGGCCGTAAAAATCTTCTGGAGGAGCCTGGCAATGCCTCTGTATGGAAACTATCGTGCATGAGGGTGGGGCAGTGGTTGGAGATTTCAAGTAGGACTTAGAATAACTGGGTTCAGATCCCTCTACTCAGCCACCAAGCCTGGTGGGTGACCGTGGGCTGGTCTCACTGCCTCTCAGCTTGGCCTGCCTCACAGGGTTGTTGCAACAGGCCAGAAGACCTCCCCCTCAAAAAAGATTCCCCACCACCTGGGTTCCCATTCTCCCAGGTACATCACCCTGCGGGTCCCCCGGGGCTCACCTGCCTTCTTCCCAGTCTCTGGGCCGTTTGGTCTCATTGGGTTTGATGCAACGGATATAGTGTGGGGTGCATTTCATCAAAGTGTCCACCAAGTTGTTGGCTTGTTTCTTTTTGGGAGGGTGGACAGAATGGAAAGAGAAAGAGGTTCAGTTATTAGCTTTTTAAAAAACGAACAGCTGGTCTAGGGCTATGGAGGGAACAAAACCTAAGAATCCCACCAGAAGATCAGCAGAAGCTAAAACCCAACGCATGCTTAGTCCTTGGAGAAGAAGCCGCGTTGGCTCTGTTTCAGCAGCAACAAAACCCAAATATCTTCTAGGAAGACTTTTTTTTAAAAAAAAGAACAAAAAATGCAAAGGGTTTTTGTCTCTGCCAATATTCACACAGACACCCCCTCTCCTCCTGCCTGTTCAACAAACACCAATAGTGTGTGTGTGGGGGGGGGCATGTACCTTGATCTTGCTCCCAGCTGTGGTGGGACGTCCTTTCTTCTCCACACTGAGGTTTTCCGGGAAGAGGTCTTGGATGAAGGGGCTTAAACAACAAAGAAAGGCAAGTGGCACTTCACCATAAACCGATTTTACTACCTGCTGCATGTAAGGGCTTCGTTACCCGTTTGGATGAATACTGTAAGGTATAACAGCTACATTTCAAAAGTAATTTAAGAATTCAGAAAGAGGATGTTTTACGGCTGCGTTAAGTAATGTTTTCTAGTTATTCTCAAGTCAGGGAGCCCTAGAAGTCAACAGGCTTACAGAGGACAAGGGGGGTGGGATGAGCCTGTTGGAAGCCACTCTTATTTGGAGGGGGTCCCCACACACCCCCTCAGGCGCCCACACTCACATCTCGCTGCTCTGCATCAGCTCAATGAGGTCGGTAAAAAGGACATCCCGGTTGCGTTCGCAGAAGCCCTCCACGTCATAGGAAACCTGTAAGGACCGGGAAAAGAGTGGCTCACATCCCGGAGCTGCAGGGCCTGCGCGGCTCCCCTCTGGCACCAATCATCCTCTTTTGGCCATCGGCTCACACCTGCGCATGCCTGCGGGTCATGAATGGGGCAAGGTGGGGCTGCCGGGGGGGAGGGGGTCTGGTCGGTCTGACACCTACCTTCCCAGCGTAGTGATGGATGACAAAGCCCTTGTTCCAGCTGTTGAAGTGGGGGTGGGTGCCCAGCGCAGCCTGGAGCTTCTGCAGCAGGGTGTGGTCAGCCCCCTCGCCCTTGGCGTGCATGGTGGCGCACGTATCGTCCAGGATGCTCATGAGCCCTGGAGGATTCTAGGAGGAAGACAGAGAGATGAAGAAAGCGGAGGTGGGATCAGGGCTTGTTCTCTGCTTACAAGCATCTCCTGCCCCACCTCACCATCATGGCCATCAAGCGAGACCATGTATCCAGTGGAGATCTGAAAGGGTCACTCTCTCTGTGAATCAGGGCTTGGCAGCTGAGGGAGGTAATATGAGCCATGGAGGAGCAGATCAAAGGCCTCACCGTCCCCACGTTCTGTCCCCACACTGGCAGTCCGTCGCCTCAGCTGGAAAGCGGCCAGCAGGACTGGAGGGCCCCTTCTGTCCTCTCTCCTCTCCACCAGGGACACTCAGAAAAACGCTGCTTTTGGTTTTTGAGGCCACCTATAGCTAATCTGACTAGTAGCCCGTCCATGAAGGGATCCAGTTCAAGGCTAGCCAAACTGGCAACCCTCAGGAAATCTTACTTCCAGACTTTAGCTCAGCCCTGCGTGTGGCAGCACCTCCTTTTAGCTCTCCTGGATCTCCCATTAAGTCAACGCCAGGGGATGGAGAAAACTTTGGATCCAGGGGATGAAAATCTTCCTCTTCACAGCCAGCGTAATTTTATACCCCTCTACCTGCTTGCCCCAAGCTTGCCTTTTCTTCCAAGCTCAACAGCCCCAAACCTTGCAAACTCTCCTCCCAGGGAAAGTTTTTGGCCCTGAGACTAGCCAGCATCCTGGCCAGGAAAGAAGAGCTGCTGTCATTCCCTCTGTGTAAGGGAAAAGGTGCTCAAGACCTGGAATAAAAGGACGCTTTGTACTCCAGTCAAATTGTACCTCTTAGCCCTCTTTCAGAGGAGCCACAGTATATCAAGAAGCCTCCAAAGTTCCTTGCACAAACTGACAAAAGCAGACGAGCTGGCAGCCTTTTTTTTGCTCACCACTTTGTTCTCGATGAGGTCGCACACCACCTTGTTGTTGAAATAGTCAATGGGGCTCCATCGGATGCCTTCTTGGACATATTCCTCCTGGCGGTTTGAATCCGAGCATCACAAGCAGAGGGAGGGAGAAAGAGAGAGAAGGAAAATGAGGAACACATAAACCCAAGGAGCAAATCATTCATGAAGAAATGGACTCTGAACTGGCTCACAAGCTTTTGCTAAGGTAATTTCCCTTGCCTCTTAAGTTCAGCTTCCAGATTTGCAGAACAGCCCACAAGGGTATGTACTGCAGGATGATGTCACAAGCACTAGCCAATAGATACTGTGCTCAAGCAGATTTTGTCTAGAGGAGTGTAAGTGTTTTGAAAATGTGTAACAAGACTGCAAGTTTAAAAACTCCTAAAATGCATTGGCTTAACAAAAAGCATATATACACACAGACGATATTTTCTGTCTTCTACAGAAATGTGAATATTTCACAAAGCTGACTTTCTCATTGCACTGTGTGTGTGTCAAATCTTAAAACATCTATTGGTGTTACCTGACCTACTTTCACATTTATCAGCATAATCCATCAATAAGCAGAAGTGCTACAAATTAAATTTATACATTTGCTAGTCACTGTTTCACATTTTAAACTTCCTCCAGTACACACACAAAAGTTGGCAATTATTTCCTGAGCTGATCAAAACCCTTCTAAGAGATACTTTGTATGCAATTTCTTGCTGGTTTAACATGCTGGTTATTTTTCATTCTACACGCCACCCTCTGCGTGTGCTCCGTGGTCAGTGACACAGAAGGGCTTCCAGAGGTTCTTCTGTGCAACAATGCGGGTCTCGCTCATCTCTCACCTGTTCAGCTTTCAGCGTCAGCTCAATGAAGATCTGCTGCAGCTTCTCGTTCACAAAGTTGATGCAGAACTGTTCAAAACCATTTTTCTGTGGGGGGGGCAAGAAAAGAAATAATTCAGAGCTCAGTGGGGGGGAGGGCCCCAAAGCAGCCAAAATGAGTATCTCTGGAACGCCTGGCCTTTCCCATCCTTGTTCAGCAAAAAAGAAGAAACAGGACTAGCCTCTTGACGCCAAGTCTGCTTTCTGTTCTTAGATTCCACCTCAGAAGAGGAGCAAAGTATGACAAGGTCTATACGCAGGTGCTGAGTGCCATTCCTTCATCTTTAGTTAACTGGGGAAGAACTTAAAGGCCACCTCAGCCCCTGAAAATGTGAAAAAATTGTGACTGCCTCCCCATGTTTCTGCTTTCTGTTGGTTTTCCTTTCTTTCTTTTTCTGGGCTTTCAGAGAGGGGCATTATGTGGCTCTGCATTTCCTTTTATTTTAAAACTGCTGCTCCTGGAAGCTTCCAGAAGAAGAAAAAATGTCAGGAGGGGATGCCTCTTTTAATAGTCTGAGAAAAGAGATTCCCCCACCTCACCCCCACCCCAAACACCTCTTCTGAGTTGGTGCCGGGCACAACAGTGATGAGCATCCTGAGAAATTAAAGCAAGGCTGTTAATTGCCTTCAGAATGTGTGCCCTCTTTATTGGCACATGCACAGAGACCTTACCAATTAAATCCCAAATGCTTAATTGGATGACAGCCCTAGAAACGGGACTCTGCTCCTTTCTTCATCTGCTCTGACGTTAAATCAGGGAAAGATGAAAGGACTCTGGGGCAAAAAAATTCTAGCAGCAAAATTTATCAAAGAGTGGCAGGTGCCATTTATATTTCTGATAACTTACCTGGAAGATTTCAAAGCCATAGATGTCTAGAACACCAATGCTGTATTCTTGGTGGTCCTTCTGCATGGCTTTGTTGACAGCCTGGAACCAAGGAGGTGGGGTACAGAAAAAAGAAAAGTAAAGAAAGAAGGTTTAGAATTTGGAATTAAATCAAACATTTCATTACAGTATGTTATTTAGAACTGTTCCATTGAGGAAGTTGGGCTTGGAAGCTAGGTTTTTTACTGTTGTAAAAACCTGAGATGACAGGAAGGGAGATACAGGATAATAAACAACTCAAAGAAGACTCAATGAGTCTCAGCAGCAAGCTGTGAGAGAAGACGACCCACGAGGGATGTCCCTTTGCTAGTTTACAACAAAGGGAGTCAGCACCACACTACACCTGGTCTCAACCGCATGTGCCAAAATGAGGTGCTGGGGTTTGCAGCTCCACAGTGCAGGCAGAAAGGACTGTTTTTAAAGGTAAAAAGAAGAAAAGAAACACTCCGTCCATGCACAAAGTTCACAAATAAGGAAGAAATGGGTTTGCCATGTTTATTTTCTCTTTGCAATCTTTCCCAAGCTGCATGAAGCTCTTCAAGGCCTCAGGCTTGCAACAAACACACACAAACCCATTCGCGACCCATCGGGGAAAACTCACATCCACCAAATAGTCAAAGAGGCGGGCATAGAGGGCCTTGGAGAGGGCATCCCGGCTAAAGTTGGCTTGTTCCACGTTGAGGGTCACATCAATGACTTCCTGCCGTCCACCCCACTTGCTGTCCATTTTGCGGCTGGTCAGCTTCTCTCTGAGGCGCTGCTGGTCAATCGCCAGGAGATAGGACGGGAAAGCCAGGACTGGGGGAGAAAAAAGAAGGTGGTGCTTTCGCTGCCACCTTAACTGGCTAGCAAGCAGCGCTTGTCTGATTTTTCTCTTCCCCCCCGACCCCCGGCCACCAATTTTTCCTTTTAAAAGGTGCACTTTAAGGGGAGTCAAAACTAGTGTCTCAGGATAACAGTCCAATGGCAGGACCGGCCTGACAAAGCCTGGGAAAGGTGGGCAACAGACAAGGAAGCCCCTTATCTCAGGTAATAGATAAAACAATGTGGCAGCCGCTTGGATCCCTGCTTCTCCGCCAAGTTTACATCTGTCTGGTTGGGCAAGGCCACCCTCTTCTGATTCTTTGCTCCTTGGAATAACTCAGCCATGCCCCCAGCTTCTTTCCTCCCATCAAGCACCCCTTGCCACCACCCTGTTTTCCCCACGACTACTCACAGTCCTCGCTGTCCACCATGGCGTAATTGCCAGACTCCTGGAAAGTCACGTTGCCCAAATGGAGGATGCCGGCCACAATCTGGAGCACCAGGGCCTGCTCTTCCCTTGAAAGACCCACCACCTCCATTGCTGCCTGGAAGCAGGGAAAGAAGGGGAAGGAACTTCATGGGCTGCCCAAGCAGATCCAAAGAAGAAAGGCTTCATCCAGCAGATAAGGGGTGTGGGTGTGGGGGGGGGGGTTGTCACGGCTAGACCTGGGGGCTGCTTTCTGGCCTTCAACAACCCTGTGAGAAAGGGCAGGTTGGCTGAGAGAGGAGGAGGAGGAGGAGGAGGAGGAGGAGGGAGAGAGAGAAAGAGATTGAGAGAGAACGAATGGCCCCGGAGTCAACCTGATATGCTCCAGTGGAGACGTGAGCCTTGGATCACTTAGGTTGGAGTACAGGGCACTCACTGTTACACTAGTACACTGACTCTCCTCCTACTGTGATACACTAGGACACACCTCAGCCGGAAACGGTGGCACGCAAAAGATTTAAAGAAGTGATAAAGAAATTAAAAGGTGCTGGTGGGTGGATTGGCCATGCTAATCTGTTGCAAAGAATCTTGTGATCCTTTAAGATGAGACCACCCTGTCTTTTGTGGCCTGAGCCCATCTCTTCAGATATTATTTGGGCACCAGATCAAACTGCCTCAAAATGGGCGATGGGGGTTGTAGTCCAAGCAACCCTCCTTGTCTCAAACTGGAAGGCGCCTGGGGCAGAAAGGCCGGACTAAATACCGTTTCTCAAGAGTCAGGCAGAAATTAAACTGGATTCTGACCCTGCCACCCTTTTGAGGGAGGGAGGGAAGAAAGAAAGCAACCTAAAGAAGGTCAAAAGGAACAGGTTCGGGGGCTCGGCCATCATTTAATCTGGGGTTCCGTACCAAAGTCTCTTGGAAGTCCTGGTGGTCATTCACGTCTTCCACCTTGTATGCCGCCGACTGGTTGAGATAGTAGTAATAATCCGGAGTGGTGATGCCCAGGTTTTCCCGCTGCTCTGGGTTGGCTCCTTCTAGCAACTGGTGCGATGTTGGGCCAGGAATGGGGTGGGTGGGGAGGGCAAGGAAAGGGAGGACAGTGTTTAAGGGTCATAAATGTCTTCATTTCTACAACAGTTGATGAGCTCAACACTCTTTCCCCTCCACCACCATGACTGCAGCCCCTTCCTTCAAGCCCACCCCAAAACCCACTTCTCTTGCACCTCTGCTTTTCCTTCCCAGCTACAACAGGATAATGAAAAAAGCAGCTATCTTAACCATTCGTAGCTTGAAAGGACACACAAGGCCTGAAATGCCAAGCCAGTTTATTTCAGCCACCCCCTCTGGTGTCTCAAGAGGCCCACCTGGTAGTAGATGTGGAAGCTCCTCTCTCCGGCGTTCTGGCTCACCACGCGGGACTTCTCCAGCAGGAAGTTGGAGATCTTTCCCCCATCCGGTTCCCCTCCTCGGCTGAACTGGATCTCAAAATATTTGCCCTGCTCGCATAATGGGAACAGGGTGCCATCAGGGCAGCCTCTTTCCATATTAAAGCAGCCCTGCTCCCAAATCAAGACTGAGTGAAGAAACACAGGAAGCACTAAACTGGATCAGGGCCTTTCTGTTCCAGGTTTTAAAACAGTACAGAATACGAGTTATCCGTCAACTGCCAACCTTCAGAGAGTCCTGAGGTTCTGTGACCAGATCTCTTAAGAATGGGGAGAGCCTTCTTTCCTATGACGTGTAAGAACTTCCAAAGGAAAGAGGCCTGGAGCTGCATAACGTTCGGGGCTACACTTTGCTGTCCTCGGGTGGGGCAGATGAGAAGAGGGAGGAAGTTTCCACTAACGTCATTGTTAGGGACCCCAAGTCACTAGAAAGGAAGACTTCTCTCTGGAGGAGCTGGAAACCTACCCCTTAGAACCTCAGAGCCAACCGTGGATGCTGGGAATTGTCCTCTGCCACCTCTGGAAGACACCAGGCTAGAAAATGCTGCTTCCTGGGGTGAAGGACGCACAGACCTCCCCCACACCCTAAGATTCACACACTTGAAACTCACAAATCGGCTTGAGTTGTTGTTCCGCACGGTCTTGGCATTCCCAAAAGCCTCCAGGAGCGGGTTGGACTTCAAGATAATATCCTTCACATGCTAAGAGGAGATCAAGGAGGGCATTTAAGTTGGGACCCACCTTTTGCCTTTTTGCTGCCTTGCATGATACCCTTAAAAGCCTCTCCTCCACCTGCCCTGCCCAAATGGTTCCCCTTGCTGCCGTGAGCGTCACTGCCCTCCGGGAGAGGGGAGGGCTCATCGTCTTGACACAAAAGGCAGTTACCTGCACTTTAGGGCCCCCGCCAGAGACCTTGGAGACATAGCTCATGATATATTTGGCTGCCACGGTCTTGCCAGCTCCACTCTCCCCGCTAAGGTGAAAAAGAAGAAGGGGGGGGGAATAACACCACAGAATCAAAAGAGGTTTCTGGGATGGACAGAAGAGGAAACAACTTCTGAGGACTACTCTCTCTCTCCCCCCCCCACGCACCCCCATGGCCCCAACGTTACCTAATAATGACACACTGATTCTCTCCATCAATCAACATGTTTCGGTACATGTTATCAGCCAGTGCATAGATGTGCGGAGGGTTTTCATACTGAGCCTGTGGGCGAAACACCACGCAGGAGATCTCAATTATCTTGCTGACAAAATTATAAAAACAGAAAGGGCTCCCCTGAGGCTATTTAATCCACTTCCTTCTCAACACCCTCCTTGTCTCAAATTTCCAGGGCTAGAGCTTCCTCCTAACAGGATCAAATAATTAAAATATTCAGCGTTTAAAAGCCCAGCTGGAGGAGGGGAATTTTCCCTGGCAGCCACCAGGTGGCAGCCTCAGAGCAAGGTAGACCTCACGTTAACCCGTAGATCAAAGCCAGCAAGGTGGCCTCCCGGTCTGTCTCCCATCTGATTGGACGCTGGGCCTCCGAATTGCACAACTCTCCCTCAGGGATGCCCAGGGGCCCGACTCTCTGCCTCCTGACTCACCATCCAGTCATGGAGCAAGAGGAAAACATTCCTACAGCCCAACCCACCCCTTGGTTTCACTCAGATTTCTCAAGGGAGGGGACTTCAACTCCCAAAACCAACTTCAACTCCCAACTAAGGCTGGGAGATTCCCTAACCCTATTCCGCCCTCCATTTTTAGCCAAGTTTTGGAGTCCGACCTCCTTCCTTCCTGTCTACCCCCTAGTCCACTAATATTCTCTGCTGATAGTAACATAAACATGGCAGGCAGAAAACCAACCGGTGAAGCTGTCCACCCATCATTGCTTCCCATGACAGAGGGAATTTCTAAACCTCAAGCAGGGGATCATCAGAGAGATTTCCAGCACCCGGGCTCAGAAAGATCTCTAAACAACCACCTCAACTCGGAGAGAAGAACATCAGCCCTATAACCCAGGGCAGCTTCCTAGAAAACGGCGGAAGCTCCACAGGGTGTTCTGCCACCTGTTTTACAACAGAAAGCTTTATTTTATTTCAAAACAATTCCTTCCCCTTGAGGGAAAAAGGAGGAAATTACACTTATGCTCAAAGGCTTTATCCCACAACCTGGTGGATTGAAAAGGCTTTTTTTAAAAAATTACTCCATACAAATAAATAATTAGGTAAAGAAAGGAAAGCCTAAGACTTACCGCTCCCTGGTACATCTCAATCTCACGGTCTGTAAAATATGGCAGTTGCTTGAAGGGGTTAACAGAAATCAGCACGGGGCCAATGTAGGTCTTCATTTCCAAGTTAAGGTTTGAACAAGCCAAGTTAGCAAGGAGTCTCCCCGTAACTTCTCTGGTCAGTAACCTACTGACTGGAGAAAAGGGCATAGTTGTTTGGGAAACCCCTAAGAGGGCAAGATTTGGCCCAAGGGAATGACGTTCCCAACACCCAGTTTATATTCATGAGTAACAGGCACTCTGTGTTCATTGGGCAAGTTACAAATACAGATCTGGTCTTTAAAAAATTAATCATTTCAGCAGTAAAGAGCGGAAAGGGGACAGAGAGCATCCTGTCTTACTCCTATGTGCCAAAAACAGCTGGACTTGCAACCCCAACCATGTTCTTACCTCCAAAACCAAATCAAACTAACCTTCAGTTGTGACACTCGTTTCCCCCCCCACACACACACACACATGCCAAAGAGATGGTTCCCATCCTTTGCCCAAAGCCACTTCAGGTTGTTTTTTTTCACACCCTAAACGTGGAAATGGATACAAAAATGTAGTCGTCCATGAAGCGTTTCCGGAGGTTCTCCACAATGGCATCCTCGTTGATTTTGGAGAGCAACACCATGTCGTCCACTCCGCTCTGCTTGACATTCTGCGTCTGCCAATGGTAGCGTTCTTTGCTGCCCTGTGCGGTTGCAGAGAAAAGACTTGTCAACACAGTGGGTCACTTCCCCACACGCAGGTCATCCACTGGCAGAAAAATAAAAAAAGAATGTAAAGGGGACACAGGTGGAGTCTCTCGCCCAAGTCCTCCTCGCCTCCTAAAATAGCTGGACTGCAAAATTTAACAAAGGCAGTATATAATATTTATGTGAAGACCCTCATGGATGGAAGAAAGCAAAAGAAATGAAAGCAAATTTTAACTTCACTCTACTTGCAAGAAAATAAAACGTGTTTAATAGTTTAAAGAAAGGGAGCACCTCCGTTCAGGTATACAGTATATGTTCCAAAAGAATTAGATTGTTAACTTTTTATTATTGCTATTTTCATTGTCAAGGTTACAGAAAACTGCTTCTGACCTCATGTGCCAAAGCTGCCTGGCTTCTGGGATGGAGCACCTTGAGAAGAGGTGGGAAGCAATCTCAGCTGGCTCCCCTTCAAGCAGGAAAATATTTTGGGCTTTCCTTGAATTTTCTTTTTGCTCCCTGAACACTTGTGTGTCTTTGCTGTAACAAATCCAAATGATTCGGACGTTCTCCCTCTCCACACCAATTTTTTTTTTTTTTTTTTTGGCAAAACTGCATTTCTAATGCCATCTCCTCTCCCTTTGATACATCCCTCTGGATCACCCCACAAATCATGGGTGGTCTCTCCCCCTTCTCTGCCATTTTTGCAAACTTTAGAAAAAGACGGGTTGCTATGCCTCCGTTCCAAGACTGGCCAAGACAATTGCCCGCGGTGGCCGGTCGCTAGGCAACGTGCCCAGACCGACGGGCCAGGCAGGCAGGCAGGCGGTGGTGGTGGTGGGTGGACAGAAACCTTGACATGGCCTCCGTCTCGGAGGAGAACCAGGAAGAAAGCAAATCATTTTCAGAAAACGAGAGGTTGCCCAGATCTGCGCTTTCCAATCTGAGACAAAAGTCAGAGGCTGGGAGAAGACGATCTTGGAAAAATTACTTTTGCAGACTTTTGAAGCTCGCAAAACTTCTCAACTCCCCCAGCAGCCATTCTGGCGAAAAGATGCTACACACTGCATTTCCCTCCCAAATCTAACTTTTCCAAACTTTTAGGGAACAAACGGGCACAAAGGGCTCCTCCCTTCTGAGGCACAACCTAAGTTGATGACTGATGGGTTTGGAATACCCCACTGCCAACTGACCATTATTGTTGTTGTTTAGTTGTTAAGTCATGTCCGACTCTTCGTGACCCCATGGACCAGAGCACGCAGAGCCCTCCTGTCTTCCACTGCCTCCCGGAGTTGTGTCAAATTCATGTTGGTCACTTCGATGACACTGTCCAACCATCTCGTCCTCTGTCATCCCCTTCTCCTCTTGCCTTCACACTTTCCCAACATCAGGGTCTTTTCCAGGGACTCTTCTCTTCTCATCAGATGGCCAAAGTATTGGAGCCTCAGCTTCAGGATCTGTCCTTCCAGGGAGCTCTCAGGGTTGATTTCCTTCAGAATGGATAGGTTTGTTCTCCTTGCAGTCCAGGGGATTCTCAAGAGCCTCCTCCAGCACCACAATTCAAAAGCATCCATTCTTTGGTGATTAGCTTCTTTATGGTCCAACTCTCACTTCCATGCATCGCTACTGGAAAAACCATAGTTTTGACTAGGCGGACATTTGTCGGCAAGGTGATGTTTCTGTTTTTTAAGATGTTGTCTAGGTTTGTTATTGTTAAACTGACCATACATATTAATTAATATATTAATTCTCACACACATGCTAGTCGCACTGAAACTATGGCCAGAGGGATGAAGGCCCCTTCCACTGAAAAATGTTAATTTAAATTTTTTTAAAATCTGTTTTAGGGCCGTCTCTACGAAGCCTGCCCTTATTAATTCCTCCAGAATCTTCTCAGGTCCTCAGAAGACGCTCCTTAAACTCCATTACATATAACTGAAGATGCAATATTCTCTCAGCATGTCCCAAGTGCACCTCCAACACTGAAATACTGGGGGGGGGGAGGCGATTCTTTTGCTATATTCCCCACCTTTTATGCGTCTCAGTAAATGCATTTAAATTCTGGTTTCACCACCACCACCCTCCGAAGGGCGGAGGGGGGTGCAGACTCCTTCTATAATTATTATTTCATTCCCCTCCTCTGTCAATACATTTTCTGGAGCACTAAATCACCAATGAGAAAGTAACGTTTACCTCATTTCTTATCCAGAGACTCAGCAAGTTTTTAAGCCCTCATTTTTCGTCACCCCCTCCTCCTTCACAGAAATATAAGCCACCAAGGGGATAGTGGTCGCCCGTCACCACCCACCCACGGCAGGCTAGACGTATATACAGGTGCACACACTTCTTCCCCCCCCAAAAAATATCAACCCCTAAAAAGGGTTTTCAGCCCACAGCTAGAGATAACAAAGGAGGGCCCGCGGCCCAGAGCCAGGCTCCCACTCCAAACTCAGGCTTGGTTGCCAGCGGCAACGGGGTAGGCCCAAGCAAGGCCCCCCACCTGTGAGGGGTGGCAAAAGCCACTTTTTGTGGCAGAAGCGCCTCCCCCGCCCCCCCCCCTGTTCAATCCAACCCGATTTGCTTCTGAATATTTTTATACCTAAGATTTTTCAAGCGTTCTCCTCCAGGTCAAGCAGCGCCACCGTTTCCAGAGCCACCCTTCGCCTACCCGCCTGACTCTCTCTGCGGGTGGCCAAATGGGGTCTATGCCTGGGGCCATTAACTAGGTTTTCAAGCGTTCTCCTCCAGGTCAAGCAGTGCCACCGTTTCCAGAGCCTGACTCTCTCTGCGGGTGGTTAAATGGGGTCTATGCCTGGGGCCATTCACTAGGGCTGGGCACCTCTGGGATTCCCCCCCCCCCGGGTCNCCCCCCCCCGGGTCCATCCTGGGGCAGGGGAAACCGGATGGTGGCAACAGGGAAGGAAGAAAAGCCCAAGTCAACCGCAGTGCCTATTCATCATCCTACAGAAGTGGGTTCCATTTTGAGATGCTCTGCTCGGTTGAGAAATGGGACAAGAAAGCCGAAGCGTCGGAGGGAAGTCCCTTCTGCAAATTCCAGGCCAGCCGGAGGAATGCAAGGCTTGTTTGCAGTACAAACACACCCTCCGTGGACAACCCGCTAGTGGCCATGGCTGAGCGAGGGCTGGGCCGCTGGGAGGAAGCCTGCCTGCCCGCCCGCCCGCCTTCTCTAAGGGGTTCAGGCACTTCTGTCTGTGACTGCCTGGCTTGGCTCTTCTTCCCATGCCAGGACCAAAAAAAAACACACACAACAGAGGGTCGGAGGAAATAAATATATCCTCGCTCCCCAAAGCGCCTCCTGTTTTGGGCGACACACCATTTAAAGTGTCTGCCCAATTCCTGCGCGGCGCAGGGGATCCTCCGGCGGTCCATGATTCCCTGTCTTTTGGCAACACCATCCAGGGCTGTCTTGTCTTCTCCGGGCGCTTGCGTTCCTTCACAGCCCAGGCAGCGGCTTAACCAAGCGATTTCCCCCTGCTTTGGTCCCTTTGTAACTCAGGGACGCACGTGATTAAGGCACCAGGATGGCATCTGGACCTGTGGCTGAAGGGGGACAATTCGCAACGGGCAGGTCCGATCTTTACCGGACCTCAGGTGGTTTTTAATGAAACGAGCAAAAAGTCGAAATGGGACACCACCTAGCGCTTCTTTGACCTTTACAGATTGCCATTTGGGGATCATCGCGTTGCCGAAGGACTTCATCCTGAGCTACTTTGGTTCTTACACCCTCCAGGATGCGGGACAAAAGGACATTGATGCACTTGGGAGATCTAAGATGGGGCGAGGGGCATTTCCCTTCTGAGCTTGGAGATGGGAGCTTATTTCAGAGCCCCAGTTCCTGAGCAAGAGGCCGTGGGATGCCAACTTCACGTGACCCCCCACCCCATCCCACCCCACCTCACAGCTCAGGCTCTGACAGCAGCAAAGACACCTCGCCCTTCTGAATCAGGGCAAGCCGGTCACCAACCTGGAGGGCAAAAGGAAGGAAAGGGAAGGCACGTGTTAAAGGACCCCCTAGGGGCTGCGGGCAGCGGGCAGGAAGAGAATCACCCCAGAGACTTTGGGATCAAGTGTGTTCTCGTCTCCATTTGGGCTCTTTGGGCTCAACCGGGCGGCATTTGACCTGCGCCGCACCTCACCCATAATAGGCCAGCGTCAACATCTGCACCTGACAGAAGAAGGAAGTTAAATATTAACCAGGTCAACCCTTGCTGGAAGTTGGCGAGATTATCGGAGAGCCAAAAGAAAACAGCCACCCTGGAGGGTGAAAGGTTCCCACCCATTTACACATCTTGCAGCCCTCCTTCGTAAGAAACATAAAAGCAGCCACTCTCTCCACATCTGTCCGAAGAGAACATGAATCAAGGTGTGACACTAACAGGAATTTCCAGAAAGTTTATCAAGCGCTTTTCTCCTCTCATCCTTGGTCGGCCTGACTGGGATTTGCTGGCTCTTACGAGCATTCCAGTATTCCCGTATTTAACAAATTGCTCCAGTTTAAACTGATTCATTTGTTTTTAATTGTGAACTTTATCTTATAGGAATTTAAAAAACACCTCTTCCTATTCTAAACCAAAAATAGAAATCTGCTTGATATGAACAGGTAAACAAAAGAAATACCTGTGCAGAGAATATATTTAAACGATGTTCCGTTTCATCCCCCACTCTTGAAGTAGCTGGCAATTGGGGGGCCTGGGATGTTTTAGGCTACAATCCCCACCACTCTTGCCCAGCGGGGCCAATGGCCAGGGATTATGGCCCCTGTAGTCCTAAATAATCTGGCGCTAACTGAACCCAAGATTGGATGGTGTTAATTGAGTGGCTCTGGCTGGGCAAAATAGAAGCCGGCCACATCTGGGGGTAGGGGAGGCAGAGTCACTGGGATTTGGGCAGCCCCCCTCTTCCCCAAAGTGCCCCCCACCTACACTGCTTCGGTTTTCACCTGTGTCATCTAGTGGGGCTGGCGGCCATGTTACTCAACTGCCTTGGGGCACCCAGAAGATTAGATTAACCGGTTTCACGGAGGAGCCGTATTTATCTGGCTTCGCCAAATAAAACTGTGCATAGGCTGGCGGCCATGTTACTCAACTGCCTTGAGGCACCCAGATGATTAACTGGTTTCACGGAGCCGTATTTATCTGGCTTCACCAAATAAAACTGTGCATGTCTTTAGGGAGCCACAGGATTCCTGGTTGCTGGAATGATGGCGTTAACCCCAAAACTGATCCAACCACATTGCACCTTTGGAAGAGAAGCAAGGCAAGGCGAAGGAGGAGGAGGAGGACCGAGGCGGAAGATGATTCATTCAGGAGTTTCTGTGGAAAGCGAACTCCTTAAAAGCAAAACGTGGGTGGTGATTCATTCAGGAGTTTCTGTGGAAAGCGACTCCTTAAAAGCAAAACGTGGGGGTGGTGGTGGTTCCACCAGGGGAAATCTTCAGGATGGAAATGGGGAAACTGACTTCTTCAGACTACAACGCTCATCGTCCCCCCCGCCCCTGCCCCCACGTTGTAGTCCAAAAAATATAACTTTGGCAAGTCCTGGTGCTCAAACATAATCCCCTTCTGCCTCACATTATGGGGCATCTCGCTAGTCCAAAAATCACCCACCACAGCTCTACCCTTCCTGGGACAAAGCAAACGGGAAGAAACCTTCCTTCTTGGTACTATTTTTGACCCTCAGTTTCTCTAGGTTGCAATTTGGAAAGTGAATCAGCTTAGCTTAGGCGTTGCGTGATGCACTGAAGGAAAAACTGTTTCTCGACCACTTTTTTTAAAAAAAGGTCGTATTTGAAACTTTCAATTTTTTAAAGTTTGTTTCAAGTCGTTGTAAAATTATTATTCCAGAAACACCAGGCACCTCTTCTGTTGTAAAGGGTGGGCTATAAATTGGGAGGAAGGGGGGAGGGCCCAAAAATCAGTAACAAATAATCAAGTATTTTCTAAAACAGAAACTGCCCTGGATTTGGAATTTCTAAAATGCTCGGGCTGTGCTGCCTGCTGTTTTATAAACTGTTTGATATACCTGTATTTTACCCTCAATGGACAAGCCATAAACAGGCAGGAAAAGTGAATCAGAACTTAAAATTAAAAGAATTTTTGTTGAGTGGACGGCAAAAAAAAAACCCCGATCTTTCCAACTACCTAAGAAAAATGGGTTGCGCTCACCTTGACCCCCAAAAGGAGGCAGAGCAGAGGGCGGTGGGAGAGGAAAGGGGGAGGAGAATCAATCCAAAGGGGTTCCCAAGGAGGACCAACGAGCAGGCAGGCAGGCACTCACCATGATGGAAGTTTCCCGGCAAAGTTTCCCCGCAGTTCCTGGCTTTAAACCCCCACGGAGAGGCTGCAGGTGGTGGCCGTGTGTGTATGTGCGCGCGCGCGCGCGTGTGAGTGCGCGTTTCAAGGGTCCATTCCGGGCGCAGGTGCTCTCTCTTCTAGCCTGTACAGACCGTGGGAAAAAAACTCCCCGGATTCCTTGGCAAAAAAAAAGGGGGGACCCTGGAGATGGGGAGGGTGGAGGGGAGCCGGCGGGCGGCTAACCACGGCGGGGTGCCGAAAAAAAGGGCCTTGCTTCCCTTCCTCCTTCCTGGGCTGATGGGTTGGGCCAAGGGGACGGACGGAGGCAGGAAGGCAGGCAGGCAGCGACAGGTAGCAGCCGGGCGGGCGGGCGAGGGAGCCGCCGGGGCTGGAGGGCGGCGGGCAAAGGCAGGAGGCGCCGGGAAGAGCGGAGCACCAGCGCCTCCTGGCGGAAGAGGCGCGCAAGCGATCCCCCCCAGTGGTTTCAGGTGCGAGGGCGCCCCCTCCTGGCCTCACGGAGAACTGCAGCGAAGGGGAACCCCTGCCCGGGCTCCAGCTTAGTCCAGCAAACCAGCCGCCCTGCAGTGTCGTCTCTCCCTCCCCCCGGGGTCACTCACCCTGCATCTATTTCAGGCATTTTTTATTCGCGGCTTCTGCCTCCCCTAAAAGACGGGGACAGCGGCGCCCGTCCAAACACTAGGAACCCGCTGGCGACGCGAAACTCACTGCCCATCATCCGAAGGGGAAGGACGGGCCACTGGCCAGCTTGAGATGGGAGCGAAAGGGCCCTGAAACACAGGCAGAAAGGTCCCCGGCCGGCCTTGAACCAGGGAGCTGAGGGGGAGGATGATTCCCTCTGGCCCTCACGCCGGAGCTGCACCCCAGCAACTGCTGGAAGGCTTCAGGTTGGGGGGGGGTGCCCGCAAAACTGGACCCCACCTCTGCAGGTTTTGTGGCCATGGCAGCCGGGAGCGAAAGCTCTCCTCCTCCTCCTCCTCCTCCTGCTGGGCAGCCTCCTTCCTCCAGGCACTCCGGCAGGCTGGGAAAAGTCTCCTCTCTGTGCCTTCCCCCCCCCCGCCTGTTCTGAGCCAGATGCCCAAAACGGGCAGCACACTGGGGTGGATTTCTGAGTTTGCCCTCTCAGGGAGGGCAAGAGCGTTGGGAGCTGCCAGGCAGGGTCTCTGTAAGGCTTCAGCCGGGCCTGATGAGAAAGGCTGGCCAACCTTCCGTTTTGCTCTCCCGAGCGTTTGGCCTGAAGGGGTGTGTGGCTGGCAGGACCCCCAAAAGGGAGGGACTTAAAAAAACAAAATAAAGCTACTGATTCACAGAGAAAGCTAACGGAAGAAGCATGGAGGATACAAAGCACTCTTCTGAGATACACAGATATACATTTGGCAAAATCCAACAAAACAAATCAAAACAACGAAAGGCACTGGATTTAGCCGAATAGAGTGGAGATCCATCAGTCTCATGAAGAAACTTGCACAAGTCCGACTGGTTTTGCTTTGCTTCTTTGGATTTTGCCCGATATGTTTGCACACACTAACACGGCTACCTCTTCCACAACTACAGGTCTAAATTTGTGAGTCTCAAAGATGGTATAAATACTTTTGTTTCTGTCGCTGCCAAAACAGGCAACCTTGGCTACTTCTCTGGATGAGAAAAAGGCCTTCTTACAGTAAGTAGACCGCGTGAGGTGCTTTTGTCATTGGCAAACTCCTTGGCAGAAGCAGCCAGCAAAAACAACACACTGTGGTAGCAGGACCTTTCTGTCCAGCTGCAAAAGAATATTCCCTCTTCCTTTCTCTCATCCACCCA